GTTTCTCGGTTTCATTTTTAATTTGTGCCATGTGGCTACATTAGTTGATGTTTTATCGAGTTCATTGGTCAATATTTGACCCATTCTTATTTCAATTTCTCCTTTTTAAATATGTAGATGAGAAAAGCCTCATGATTCTGCCAAAATTTTTATCAACAGCTGTTTAAAGTCTTTGTAGCGTTTAAAAAATATATATATATACATAATTGTTATGTAGTTCCAATAGCTTAGTTTTAAAGACTGATTTTAAAAATTAAAAAAAAAAAAAGAAGCAATTTTGAAGCAGCCCTTGCCGGAGGCATTGGTTCTTTATTATTTGTATTAAATACGAGCTTGCGAACCAATCATTTTACATCTGGTTTTTAAACCTTTAAGGGCACAACGAATGCAGTGCCGCTACTACTTCTTTTTTTTTTCTTCCTTGTGTGAAACAACCTTTATTGTGATGTTACTTGTTATTGTTTAAATGTACAGAAACAAAGGGTTAAAAAAAATGTGTTAATATACCTTGTTCCATGGTGTTGTTCTTTTGGGGGAGGGGACGCTACTCAACAATTAAAAGTATCACAACGCTATTGGACCAGTAGTATTTATTGCTTTAGAAATTGCTTGTTGTATCTGTATGTTGTCCCTTTTTAAATGTTTTTTTCTTCTTTTTCTTCCCCTTGAAACATTGTATAAAGGGTTTTTTTTTTTCCTTTAGTGTAAGCATCTTATATATAACAACTCATTTGTACAAGGTTTTTAAGTTTATATATAAATGTGTATATATATATTTTTTCCGGGATTTTGTTTTTGATTTCTTTTCGTGATTTTTTTTTTTTTTTTTTTTTTTTTTTTTTTTTTTTTTTTTTTTTTTTTTTTTGCTATATGAAATACGGTTGCCACCAAATGGACATTCGCAGATGCATTTTTTCAAGGATCAATAGTGTAAAGAATAAAATTGCTTTAAAAGCCATTACACACGAAAAGACTTGAAAATTTAGCAAGGGAATTTTTAGCAATGCTGTTTGAAAAATAGCAAGGTCCAAGTGTCTCCCGTTCAGAACTGCAGCTGAATCCCCTGCGACATTAGGACTGTAGGCTGTGTGCAAAATTTTTATGTGCCAAAATTCTCAGTGACTTTAAACTTTCTCCCGACAACTTTATTATTTTTTTTTTTAATGCTGTAATTTTTTTGTTCATCATGTTTTGCTGTGATGTTACATAGGTAGATATGTATGTAGTTTTAATGTCACCTATAACAGACGTGTTTGGTAGCAGATTGTCCGGAAAGCATTTAAAATGAAGAGGTATAAACCCTTAAGGGCCAAATTCTGTATATTAGATACTTCATAAAAGGAAAATCAGACTGCCACTTTTATGTACACTTACTACATACAGGTAGGTAGCAAACTTAAAACAAAAAAAAAAAAAACCTAGGCATGTTGATGTTGCAAAAAAACGCTGTATAAAGCTGAAAAATTGTTCATCTGTTCATTCAGTGCCATTGTAGTTGACATGAAGCGATTGTAAAACTGTCTCAGATTTTTCTCTGGTTTATTAAGATGCTAACTATAACATTTTTTGTGAATACTTTGAATGTTTCCTAACAGTTGTGATGTTACTGTTCCGTTTTATGCTCTTATTCCGATTTTCATTTTTAATGGTTTGGAAGCCATTTTTTGTAATGAATAAATGTTCATGCTGTACAGTATCTGTAGCATGCAGTTCTGGATTAATAAAAGCAACTTAGTATGTGCAGAGAATGACTTGTCAACTCATTTATGCATTGACTGCATTTTATCTGGCTGGAAAGATTTACAGGCCAACTGGAAAACTTCCTTGAAAAAAAGAAAAAAGTGTGAAAATTGTGGCAAATGGCGGCCAGCTCTAGTTGTGAGAAATCCTGTTTCCTTTGGGTTCCCATGGAATTCTTTTGTGCTGGCCCTCTCCCTGCTCAGCACACTTTCGCGTGAGTAGCAGTGGTTAAAAATCCTTTTTTATTCAAAGCAAACGACACATGATTTGGCAAAAGACAGCATGTGAGCYAGGGGAATGGCCTTCCACGAGAAGGGAGCCTGACTGGGGGTCAGGAGACCAGGGCTGGTGATACCTTTAATTTTAATACATTCATGTTCAACCTGGCGATCCCACCACACAGGGCTGGTGCACCATGAAGGTCACACAGGAGAGCCCAGGTAATCCTAATTAGTAAAGTCCTTCTGCTGGCCTTAGGCTTTATCTCCTGGCCAGATCTGGGTCCAGTTTTGCATGTATTTAGGTTTTTTTTTTTTTTTTAATGCAATGAGCCCTTGCAGCACAGTCTGCTCTCAGTGCTGAGCATCCAGGATGCACCTGACTGCAGATGCAAGGATTCTTATTATGTCACTGATTCGTTTGGGTTTTTTATAAATAAGTGGAGGTTTAAACTTCATAATTCTGCAGGAATCTATCACAAGTGGATGTCACTGTAGGCCCAGTCATCTTGGAAAATGTCAGCCATAGAAATTTCTACAGTGGCACTTGAGGACAGTGGAGTGTAAAGGTCTCGGAGCAGGTTTGTTCCCTGCCATTGTGCAGGTGCATTGCTCATTACTGCACTTCTCTTTGGTCAGTCTGGGTACACTCTGCAGGAAGGGTGAGTGCTCTGCAGAGACCTGGGAACAGCCCTGGGATGGTGCTGTCCCTTCCTGTGGGGTCCAATAAAACCTGCAAAATTCTTTGTTGGCTGCAGAAGGAATTTCCTTTGTGAGTAGCTGGGAGGCACAGGGTGAAGTACTAAATAATGTTTAAGCCAAATATGGTACTTTAAATTACTAATATTTAAAGTGTTAAAATTTAATTATTTATAAGCCAGAAACCTTTTTTTGTTGTTGTTTGTTTAAATGTGTTAATAAAGGGCAATATACATGAGTATTGCTTCTTACATCCTATTAGAAGGATTAGGTCATGGTGAATTTTTTGCCAAGCTCCATTTATCTCTCTTGATCCAAGGGCCTGCTGGTGTTTTTGTTGTGGTCTGACATGATGCTGCCCTCGACCTCAGCGGAACATTTCCTCATCACCCACRACAGGCACAGGGGCAGCGTGGGTGGGACGGGGCTCTGTGATGGGGAAAAGGAATTGCTGCAGAGCCTTTGTGGAAAATGCCAAATTTTGCTGYTGTTGGTAGCCAGTAAATTGAATGCAATGCTCAAATTGTCCAGCTAGTTAAGGTTTCTAGGGATTTTTTTTTTTTCTCCTTTTTCCTAAGTGTTTTGACTCTTGCTAGAGCKTGGCCATCCATCAGCCAGACACATGTGCTGCATCTCTGCTGGGGATAGCTGCTCTCGTCTAAAGTAAGGAACAGTGCWCCAGGGAGATCTTTGAATGCCATGATTCAAAGTAGACACCATCAAGGTATGATTCATATATTCAGGAAAGTACTGTGTTCTTTGCTCGCTGCTTTATTAGGCAAACTTGGGAAAGCAGAGTCCTAAAACAAAATTAGTATTCCTTGCAAATTAGTTTTCCTTCTGTGTGTGTGGTGAGAGGGGCACGTGTTTCAAGGGTGCGCTGAACAGAGCTTGTGAGTGGTGGATAACTCGTGCTGGGAGCTTGTTTGCTGTGGAAAACARTTGTATATTCCTGGGAAAGCAACTGCTTGTGTTTCCTTTAGGTTGTGCCTTGGCTGTGTCCCTTAGAGGGATAATGCCTTCAGATTTGCCTCCAAATTTCCCTGAGCTGGGCGAAGGCTCCTGGGAGAAAATTACCATTATTTATACGTCCTCCCTTTGTGCCCAGGAGTTACAGCCACAGACCACRTCAGTCCAAGTACAGGGGAAACGTGGTGGAAACRCAGCCCTTCCTAAAMACTGTGTGTGCAAAATAGGGTGAGCAGCAGGCTGATCCCTGTGTTCACCCCCAGATCCACACCAGTGAGGGCGGACACCAGAGTGGGGTGGTGACAAAGTGGCACAGTCTGTCCTCATCCAGGGCTGCCACAGGACAGCACTGGGGCCCTGTGTACAGCAGGTAATTCACTGTGGCTTTTGCTTCCATCTGTTTTTATGGAATAAGGCAAGGAAGCAAGTCCATGTATTGCATGCTCGCGAGACATTTATTTTCCATTAGTTTTGTAAATCTCATTTTTCACTTAGCCTATGGAATTTTAAAAAGTTTAAGCCATTGCTGACTCAAAGGAGTGCCACATGGTTTTGTGCTTGCTTAAAGGAAAGAAAATGGACAGGCAGGGAAAAAAAGAGCAATCTTTAGGTCCTGTTCATTTAATTAGACTATGAAAAAGGTGTAAAGAGAATTTACAGTGAAATAGTTGCATAGGTCATTGCAACAATAATGAAAGCTAGTAATATTAATGTTATTATTAACAACAATAATAGTAACAAACAACAACAATGTGTGTGACAGTGCTGCTCAGCTGTGTCTGGCATACACCTAGGAGCACTTTACCACCAGAGACTGTGGGGAAAAGTTTTGGATGCTGTTTTTTTGGGAGAGGTGCTCCAGGTAAAAACTAAATTCAGTACAGGACCAAGATTCATCTGAAATGATCTTTGTTGGACAGGATGTCTAAAGCTTTTTGAGCCTTATAATTATGAATAATCAAATTTGCTCAGAGATTGTGRCAGCTGCTATGTTATGAGAAAAAGGGTAGACAGTTATTTTGGTATTCATTTTGAGATGTCCTTGGAAAACATCTCGAGAATTTTGAGGCAGATCAGCTACAAGTGATTTCATTCCAAGCACCAGTCATTGTCAATAATGTCACCAAGCTGTTTAAGGACCTTTTGAGGACTGTAGTGGTCCAACCCCTGGACTGAATTTCTTCTGGGATCAATCAAAARTATTAACTCATGACTTTCATSSATGYTCTAGGAGTTGCTCTSTTTCTGAGGTTGGAAATGCTTTCARATTTGGGGTGGGGGGATGTTAGTCCAGACCTCTAAGGCAGTGGAGAMCATGAAGTCATGCTCTCTGTGCATCTGCTTGA